ATAAGAATTATAATAATTTTTTCGGATTTTTTTAAGGTTTAATCCAGAAAATTCAGCCGATTCCCGATCCGGATCACCGATTCGCAGATTCGGATGGGTTTTTGAGATGCCCGATCCGGGTCACTGATCCGTTGTTTAAACCACTGGTTTAAAGCATTGTACTTATATATAAACCTTTTCCTTTAGTTTTTGTTTGGGCTTTGTTTGGGCCAAAAACAAGATTTCGTTCAGGCCAATAACAAGCTGGTAAATAGGGTTCAAGGGATTAGAATATATATTACTTTTAGAAAACTATGCTGCCGTAGAGTTTTTAAAACCTGGGTATGGGAAAATAGTACACCAAAATAAGGTATATATAAACATAGTCCTATAAAATATACTATTTTGACTTAAAACTAACATGATACTCGCATTTCCAAATTTTTACAAACGGATAAACCAAATCGTGACATTATAGAAATCAGGATGTATAATCAAGGACGTATATCTCCAAAAAGATTCTCTACAGTATATATCCATAAAATTATCTCCCAAAACATTCAAATCCGAGATTCATATCAAGCCTAGCATGGGGATTTATAGAAAACCAAAGAGCCCGTTTGCAAATGAAAAACCAGAGGGCCAATAAAAAGGACTCCAATAAAAACCACAACAATTTGCAAATGATTATTAGATAATTCAATTCATACAAGGCAATGGAAGATGAGAAAAGAACATGGGAAGCTGCTTTCATACAGATGTCAAAATTATGTGCATTCAGTTCAACAATTTCATCCAGTATTAGTACACACAAACTCTCTCTGTCTCGTCTTCGTACACACGACCTCGCTCTCTCCGATTCTCTTTTGCAGGCTCCATCTACAGAAGGCCAACGTGATCTTGTCGAGGTATATATAGATATATATTATTTTTAATCTTTTCACCTCTTTTGGTTTCGGTAAAGATCACTTACAAAGGGTCTTGTTATAATAATTCTTGCTTTAAAAAAAATAAAAATAAAACCAACAAAGATCTTAAAACCTTTTAGCCATTAAACTTAAATTTTTTTAAACAAAGGAAAATAATCACTACTTCTCAAGCTTGAGAAATGCAAAAACAAATATAATTAAAAAACAATAAATAAAAGAAGAATACCAGAGATTATCTCACCCCGGCTTATTACACCCCATGTCAACTCACGACACATGATCAATGATCAACCTTCACTCTCAATTGAGATAATAAAACCGTGAACTCTTAGTAAAAAAACTCTTAATGGAACGGTGAACTTTTAGTAAAAAAAACATAAAACCTATTTCTAGTAAGATGAAATTTACTTGCTACTAAGTAACCCTCTTTATCAAAGTAGCAACCCTCTTTATCATATCAAGGTGATCGAGAGTGAGACCTAATCCAAAATAGGTGGGGGCGTGCCCCTCCTTTCAATATCAAGAAGAGAGAGAAAAAATAATCCAAATAAGTGGGGCGTGCCCCTCTTTCAATATAAAAAAGAGAGAAATTTTGACGTAACAAATTATTGGTATGGGTCTTCTTTTTATAATGTTAAAATTAAGATAACGGTTTTCTATGGTTTGCTATTTTTTCGATTGAAGAGCTGATTATGGGTAACTTGTGAGTAAAAATCAATAAATGAATTTTAGAATTAATTTGAAAATTTAAAGCATTAAAAAATTATTATCTCTGTTTTTATAAATCTAAATTTTATAAATAAAATATCTAGAGATCTAGAAAAATTCAAATAATAATTCTAAAATCAGATCATTATAAAATAAAGACAATCAAATTATTTAGATGGGATAAGGATCCATATGGTCTAGGATTAAAAAAGCTAGGGCACTCCACCTTTAATTGTAGACTACGATCCACACTTGCTTTATCAAGTGACCCATGACCTACAGTCTATGCGAGAGCTCATTAGTGAGTCGCCAAAATCTGGTTGATGAGTCAATGAGTCGTAATCCCAATTTGTGGATTTCAAGTTCTCCTCTAGAGCCGTGCCAGTTTGTAGATTTCAGGTTCTCCCCTAGAGACGTGCCAATGTCACTTAGATATGATGCAACCACAACTCCTATGACGCATAGGGGTATCTCTTGCACATACATAAACTTCACCTTAAAAGGCGGTTCTCTTTTTTGAAAGCGCATTGGGGTATCTCTTGCACATACATAAACTTCACTCTAAAAGGTGGTTCGTATCTCTTGCACATACATAAATTTCACCCTAAAAGGTGATTCGTTTTCCCGAAAGCGCATAGGAGTATCTCTTGCATATACATAAGCTTCACCCTAAAAGGTGGTTCGTTTTCCCGAAAGCGCATAGGGGTATCTCTTACACATACATAAGCTTCACCTTAAAAGGTGGTTCGCTTTCCCGAAAGCGCATACGGGTATCTCTTGCACATACATAAGTTCGCTTTCCTGAAAGCGCATATGGGTATCTTTTGCACATACATAAGTTCGCTTTCCCGAAAACGCATAGGGGTATCTCTCGCACATACATAAGTTTGCTTTCCGAAAGCGCCTAGGGGTATCTCTTGCATATACATAAGCTTCCCCTTAAAAGGTGGTTCACTTTCCCGAAGGCGTATAGGTTCGCTTTCCTGAAGGCGCATAAAGTATCTCTTGCACATGCAAGAGCTTTACCTTCAAAGGTGGTTCGCTTGGCGGGGGTATCTCTTGTACATGCAAGAGCATCACCCTAAAAGGTAGTTCGCTTTCTTAAAAGAGAGGGTATCTCTTGCACATACAAGAGCTTCACCCTAAAAGGTAGTTCGCTTTATTGAGAAAGCTATCATTATGCATCTTCACCCTAAAAGATAGTACACACAGTCATTCGAGAAAGCTATCATTATGTATCTTCACCTGACGATGGTACATAAATAAGCTATCATTATGCATCTTCACCTGAAGATGGTACATAAATGAGGCTGTGGGCCCATCACACAGTCATTCGGCTTCCGGCTTATTCATTCGGGCATACTTCGACTTCATCTAAAGATGACCTATTGGAACCCTTATCGGTTAGAATAGATTTCTATGCCAAGGTAACATAGGTTTTTCGCAACCGACTAGCATATACCGTCAAGCATAATTCGGTATCTGCAATTGTTATTTGCTTAGTATTGTCCACAAGAGACCACATCCCCACTGAATTCTTGTTCAATTATATCAAATGTTTCATTACAAGCACTAATAAAACTTTTGATAGCCACATTCATCCAACGTACATCAAGGAAAACATTGGAAGAAGGCAATTGTCTCTTAAAAGGAAAAAGAAACAAAAAAATGATTCATTCAAGCCTCTTGAGACTCCCGGATCCACACAAAGAGATACAGTTACCTGTCACTACAATGTGAAATCGGAATCAGAACCACAATTCTATGGAATGAAGTCACTACAATATGAAATCGGAACCACAATTCTATGAAATGAAAAAATCTGTACAATTTCAGCTATATTTGGGGAGAGACTAACACATAGATATCATCATTTAGAGTTTGTATATTGGGATGACGACACCGATGTCGTATCATCCTGGTTGCTGCTCCTCCTGAAATCCCTTTGTAAAAGGGTCATAGTTGGTTGGTTCGCTTGACTTGAAGGGGCGTTCACCAAGCACTTTCAGTAAGTCATGTTTGTGCAAAACCTCTCTTTCGAGTAATAGCTCTGCGATCTTCACTACTTGCTCTCGTTTTTCCTCAATGAGTTCCAATGTTCGGTCGTATGCTTTGGTCACCCAATCTCTCACTTCTTTGTCTATGATCTCCTCAGTCCTATTGCTATAAGGCTGGGTTCTCTCATACCCCTCGTCCTTTTGGGGGAAGGAGAGGAGCCCCACCTTCTCACTGAAACCATAAACTGCGACTTGGGCATATGTCATCTTTGTCACCTTCTCCAAGTCATCCTGAGCCCCAGTCGAGATCTTCCCCAACAGAATATGTACATGTAATAAATCAGGGAACCGATTATGATTATATTTTCTTTCCCATAAAGCAGAGCTAAGTCAGCGGGGTGGAGAGAGAGTTCAGAAGCACGGCCACCAAGGGTCATGCATGTTATATCGAAGAGCTGCTCCTTGGTCATAAGGAGGTTTTCATTGGGTATATACTGTGCAAAGCCCAGGGCTGCAGTGCCTCGTGGCGCAATTGTGACTTTAAGCAAAGGCTCTGCATACTCCAAGAACCATCCTGCAACTCCGTGGCCAGCTTCATGATATGCAACAGTCCGGCATTCCAACTTTCTCATTACCTGCATGGAGAGATGCATAGATACATTATCAGAACGGCATGCAAAAGGGAAAGAACTTCAAAGCTCAACTTGACACATGAAACTAGACAAATAGCCATCCTAATTCTTGATTATTTTAGAAGCAAATAAAAATATTGAAGAAAAAATCCTTATCTGGTGAAAAGATTGCTTTTGCAGAAGGGCAAAATGAAAGAGAAAGAAGACTATAGTTGTCCCCTCTGACTCAAATTAATAATGAACACCAATTTGTAGTAGCTTGAAGAACATGTATCATAACCTTAACTACTGTAGGGCTACTCATTGTTACTTCATAAAACATCTAGCATGATGTCAACTACTGCAAGGCCAATCTTCTGTTTTTAACAAGCAAAATAAGAGAAGAAGTCTTGCTTTAAATATTTCTTAAGAAATTTTAAAGATCAAACTGGACAATGCATCTTTTTTAAAAACCAACACCTCAAATGTGAGGGGAAATAACAAACTCTATTTACGCAGGTAACTCAGCTCAGAAGAGACCGAAAAACAATGAAATGATATTAGGCAGCAATACAAACCATTTTAAACAATAGAATGTCAAATGAATTGGGACATGGCATAAAATGAAATAAGATAGAAACACATATCCACTCAGCCACAGAAACACATAAATATAGCATGAAAGAACGAAAAAGAAGAAACATGTCGACCTTATTTTTCTTTTCTAGACCACCAATGATCCAATCTATAGCAGCTTCAAAATGTTCCATGGTGACATACGTCCTATCATTTGTGATAGCTATCACTGCCGCTTCATTACAAACTTTTGCTATGCCAGCTCCAGCAAATCCAGGAGTAAGAGCTGCCAATCTCTGAGAGAAATATGTTGGACTGCTATCAAGCTTTATTTTCTTTAGATAGATTTGAAAGATCTGGTCACGACCTTTGATATCAGGTTTGTCTATTTCAATTTGTCGATCAAACCGACTTGGCCTCAAAAGAGCCTTGTCTAGAATATCTGGCCTGTTAATGGCTGCAAGTACAATTACTCCTGAAGTTGTACCAAACCCATCCATTTCCACAAGTAACTGATTGAGAGTGGTTTCATGTTCACTATTTCCATCAGTGAATTTCCCATGTCCTCTTGCTCCACCAATAGAATCAATTTCATCAATAAATATAATGCTAGGTTCACATTTCCTAGCCTCTTGAAATAATTTCCTCACTCTTGAAGCTCCAACACCAACAAACATTTCCACAAATTCTGAACCAGAAATTGATAGAAATGGCACACGCGATTCACCAGCAGTAGCTTTTGCAAGAAGAGTCTTACCAGCACCAGGAGGTCCCACAAAAAGGGCACCTTTTGGAATTTTAGCCCCTATTTCCTCATATTTCTTTGGATTCTTCAGAAAATGCGCGAACTCCATAATCTTCTGCATTGCTTCATCACAACCAGCAACATCCTTAAAGAATACCTATTATAACAGAAAATGAAAGTCAAACAGTCAAAATGCTTCACACGTTGAATTTACTAAAGCAAAGTTTAGATAACAGAACACTGTAAAAGATGAAAATAAAGAACAATACAACAGGTGACCAGATAAAAAAAACTAAGCAAAAACTAAAAGAAAGTTTAGATAACAGAACACTGTAAAAGATGAAAATAAAGAGCAATACAGCAGGTAACCATATAAAGAAACTAAGCAAAAATACTGACAAAAAATTCTAACTTGAAAGTCCTTTCAACCCCTATTAAAGTAGAAGAGTCTTTGGACATTCATTATGGAGAAACAATCCAATTCCTTGAGACATGCCTGAAGTAAAAGATTCAATTAAAGGCATAACAGAGAAACAAAGATTATAAAAATCCCACCTTGTTCTCAGGATTATTATCTAGTTTTTTCACAGCACCTCCAATACCGCAAAAGCCAAATCCATCTTGCATCCTTTGACTACTGTACAAGAGAAATCTTCGTACCAAACAAATTTATTCATATATGTTACAGGAACATAGTCGTGAGGATCTACTCCCAGTGCTTTCTGGCATCCTCCAGCTTTTTGTCGAATATTTCCGATGTTGAAATGGTACTTATATTGGCTTGTATTTGCTTTGGGAGGGGCATTTGTTACAGGTCCTTGGACATCATCGTCCCCGGTTAGATTTTCCCTACTTGGGGAATTCCGTACGTATGCTTTTGCCACTTCTTTATTGGATACATCAATGTGATCCACTAATCCGGGCTCGAGAAGCTTGTTTTTGAATTCCTAGAAACTAATCTATCAAGTGACAGACCAAGTCATATTAGAAATTATAAAGATGATTTACTAACCTATGAATTTAGGACTTTAAAAGAAGTGTACACTAATACAGTATAAAATCCACATAATTCTTCGAGCATTAAAATACAGTCCTTCATTTATGGCTCAAAGAAGAACTTAAATAGAGCCGAATAAAAATCATATATAGCTATAAGAGCAATATCTAATAAGATAAACATGCACATTCAACTATGAAGACGTCTCACTTTCACAACAACATCCTTAATCTTCCAATAATACTCTACGTATTCGAACACATTCCATTAGTAGCATAAAAAGGAAACAGGCCATAAAGGATGGAGGAAGCATAGCACAATGTTTAAGTGATTTCATTAGAAATGAAGTATGGCCATTAGTGGGCACATTCATACAAGGACGGATGACTTCCTAGGATGCGCATAAATTTCAACCATTATTAGCAAGGTTCCCAAATGGCTACCAGGGGGATTTTCACTGGCCACACATGCACATGCACACTCACAAGCACAGAGAGAGAGAGAGAGAGAGAGAGAGAGATCAACCAATTGTTTCAAAAGTAACCAAAGGATCAAAGTTTGAAGGTCAGAAGTAGTGTCAGTTTCCATTTCAATCACTGAGTTTAGTTATAAATGCTCAGCTCTACAGATCAAGTACAAGACAACAACAGTATCAGAAGCTAGGTTCTTATTAAGGATGCGACTCCCATTTCAACACTACCTTCATGAAATTAACCGGCAACAATTTCTTAGATCTGGCATCTGGTATCAACATTCTTATTTATGCACCCTCTATGTAAACAATAAATTAGCTGTTTTTTTATCATTTCATTGATATAGCATTGTCTTTCATTTGTTTTTGGGCTGCATAGCAGTCCATCCCAATTTTCATTCCAGAAGTTTTAGAATGTTCCAGCAGCAGCTTAAAACATGATGATAAATAAGGAATCTATTGAAGAAGATTTTATTGAAGGGACCAGCAAATCAACCACCAAGAATGCCCAACGGACCGGAAGAGCTAATGTGGACCTTAGTCAAAGCTATCAAACAAGCTTCAATTTTAACATAGGAGAAATTGCAAGTCACCTGATCTATGGCTGATGTTTCCGCCATGGTGCACAATACTTCAACATCCAGAACATAATTTTTTCAGTAGGATTTGAACGTGGGTGGTCCTTATTTGCTAAATAAGGACTAGAGTGCTTGCACCAGTAAAATCTATTTAAGAGATGGCTAGAAAATGATAAGATCTTTTAATTTACAGGAACCTAATTTATTCAAGATTCCACAAACATTGTATCTGCCATAGTTACTGGAATCTCCCACCCTAGGTGGTGATTCCAATTCAAAATCCCAATTCCACTATTCTGTCAAGGAATATTCATAAAACCTGCTTCCTTGAAGAAGGGAATCTCAATTTTACAATAATAAATGGCCTATATCCATATGATTTAATGAACTCACAGTGTTCATTGACAAAAACCAATGAATACTTGCCAAATGTACTAAAAGAAAAACCACAATACAGTTTCCTGATTTTAAAATAAACAATTTTAGTTCATCCATGGATGATTGTTGGACATAAAACCCAAAGTGCTGATCCAATCCAGTGTAAACAAACAGGGTTTGAAGTTTAGAACAACCAATGATTAGCATAAACAAGGCAATCAAGCAAACAAAACTGGCTGGACTGGAATAATCAAGTACTTGCCAACACCATTTAATCCAGGAACTCTGTATTTCTCCCATGTTTTTCCTTTTTAATCTTTAACTTTTTTTTGCTGTTCCGTGTGGAAGCCATTGATATAGGCCCTAAATGGCCTAAAAGAACCAGCTTGGCTAGTTTGCTTAACTAGCTGAACCAGCACATTAATATGAGATACAATTGCTCATGAATGAAAACTTTTCACCATGATAGCATTAAATGTTTCACTCAAGATAACCACCCACTTGTGTACAAGAAAAAATAAAGATATTAGAAAAAATGAACAGGGGCCAAACATATTTAACGCCTTAAGGGCTATTTTTACCTGAATTCTCAAAGAGGTTAATCACCCACATCTTGTCAAGGTTTCAGATATTTGACCATATTCTACTACAACAGAAAAAAAAGAGAAGAAGAATTTGATGCTGACCTGTTTCTGGTCAAAGGCCCCAAATACAAAATATGAAAGAACCAATGCAAAAAGCGTCTATGCAATAACTGAAAAAGCCGTCAAATAAATATGTAACTTCTTCATGAAATTCTCTTGAAAATTCCCCTGGTCGTTAGTATTTGAATCCTCTGTTGAACAAGGGAGAAAATGAGAAGGTGACTCTTAGTTAACAAAAAAAAAAAAAAATTCCATAGTAAACATATACATAATATGCACAAGAAATACATCCAAAAACAATTGAACAAATCAAGGTTATATAAGTAGAAAACACCACCAAATAACAACTAAAGTACATGATAAGTCAGCAGATCACTATTCAAACTAACACTATAAGAAACTTCCAAGTCGAAAAAATCGTTTAAAACCAAAATTTCCTTATTAATTTTATAGGCAAGCTTTGGACCAAGATATGAAGCTCAAATAACCATCATTTTTTTATATAATAAGGGTACATGGGCCTTATTATGGTTGCAACATATAAGCCAAGCTCGATCACCAAGCCCATTAGGTTCAAAGGTGCCTGGTGTGCACATGCATGCACACAAGCAGGTATAATACATACAAACATAAAAGCACACATGTAAAACCCATTATAATGCATATTTTGTAACTATACTTTAGTAAAGATAAAAGTATAGAAACATTGGCAGAAAAACTTTGGGTTGATATTTAGCTGAAAATAGGCTCACGATGATTTACAAAAAAACAAAAAAATCTAAAAATAAATAAAAACTAATGGGAAATCTTACTAGATATGCTACCGGAACTTGATATACCCCACACTCAATTTCTTGATCAAGTGCACACAAAGAAATTAAGGCTGAATCACAAATAGAAATAATGGTTGAATTCAGTTGATCTCTCTAACAAGAGAGAAGGAGAGAGCGAATACGTGACTCTCTAGACCAGAGAGAAGGTGGCGTAAGGCCTAAAAAAAGTAAGAGAGAGAAAAAGGGGCGTGAGAGAGATATGGTCCCTTTCTTTTTTTTGTGTGTGGGGAAAAGAGGAAACAGAAAGTAGCGTGAGAGAGATGATCTAATCCTTGGAGAAAGAAATATCATCCTTTTATAGAAGGAAATCCAATAGATATTTATCTTCAAGTTTGAATAGGAACCTCATCCTGCTCCTCAGTCTACTCCTATTTAAAATATAAATATAATTAAATTTAAACCTTATCTAAATATCTATTGAAATCAAACTAAATATTATTTAGATAAATAAATATTATTTAGATGTTTTCTAAAATAAAGAAAATCAAATCTCATTAAATTTCCCTTGTTAATCTTAACTAATTTAAATTTGAAATAAATAATGCTTAAAAGTAATGGGGCGTGCTTTTATTCCTGAGAAGGTGGCGTCTTACCTTTTTCTTTAAAAGTGGCGTGCACACCTTCTAAAATATTTGAGACAATATCTATATCTATATTTATACAAAAATAAGACGGGGCTTAATTCTAGAGAGATTATAGGATAAATTCTTAATTTTAGGGGAAGAGAGAGAAAGAATAGCACTTCTTTTAAGATAACTAAATTAGAGAGAGAAAATATGAGTAGGCATAAAAGAGACATTTCTACATTTTTTCATATCTCCACATTATTTTATTATCTTCATTAGAGAGATACTTTCTATATCTTAATTTGACAATGAGAGATAATTCGCACAAGAGAGAGATAATAAGGGATTTTAATAGAGATTTTGAGGAGAGAGTATGTACAAGAGAGATTTTAAGGAGATAGAGAGTACGTGAAAGTGATAGAAAGAGAGATTTTAGGAGATACTTTGAGGAAAGAGGACGAGATATTTTAGGAGAGATGACGGTAGAAAAAGAAAGAATATTTTAATACAAGATTTTAGAGAACCAAAATTTTAGTAGGATTTAGTTCATAAAAATGATAAAAAGATAGTAGAGGAACTTTATTATAAGGGTATATAGAGAGAACTTTTTTTATCCCATCCATTCCTAAGTGAGAGAGTATGAGAACGTATAAGAGAGATATCAACATTTTTTCAATATCTCTACATTGTTTCTTTATCTTAATTGGAGAGATAGATTAATTCCGGAACCATATCTTAATTTGAGAATGAAAGAGAACGCACAAGAGCGAGAATGAGATATTATCTCCACATTGTTTCTTTATCTTAATTAGAGAGAGAGATTATTTTTGGAATCCATATCTTAATTTGAGAATGAAAGAAAATACATAAGAGAGAGAATGAGAGATTTTAGGAGTGAGAGATCTTTATCTTAATTAGAGTGACTGTTTTCGGAATCCATATCTTACTTTGAGAATGAAAAAGAACGCCCAAGAGAGAGAATGAGAGATTATCTCCACATTATTTCTTTATTTTAATTGGAGAGAGAGATTGTTTCCAGAATCCAGATCATAATTTGAGAATGAAAGAAAAAACATAAGAGAGAGAATGAGAGATTTTAGGAGTGAGCGTATAAGAGATTTTAGGTGAGATTTGAGGAGGAGAGAGGCGGTACTTGCGAGAGATCAAAAAATTCTAAAATCGATGGTCAGGATGGCTTAGCCACCTGCTCTCTTTTTTTAATGGGAAACTGGCACATGCTCTGACACATGATTAATGTTAACCTCTCTCCTATTCCCTCTCTCTTCACGGACTTCCTTCTCTCTCTTCGCGGCCCTCTCTCATATTCTCTCTCTCTTCGCGGTTCTCTCTCTCTTCGCGGCCCTCTCTCCTATTCTCTCTCTCTTTGCGGACCTCCCTCTCTCTCTTCGTGGACCTCCCTCTCTCTATATTTAGCAGTAGGTCCTTTTTCTATGTTCAACAATAGCAATGGACGTAATGGCAGCAATACAACAACAATTAAAGCCCCTCGGCTTGGGCATTGTTTCTCTCTCTTTATCGCTATTGAAGCCCTCTCAGCCCACACAGAGGGATGGACACCTCTCTCTCTCTAGCTGTTGTAGCAGTAGTGCATCCCTCTCTCTCTGTCTATATGCAGCCATTGAAGCCCTTGAGCTTGGGCATCTCTCTCTTTTTGTAGAAAAACCCTGGCCGGCCAGCCATCCAACTGTAGCCCACTTCATCTCTAAAGGTACTCTCTCTCTCTCTATTTGACTTAGTCAAATACAATATGTTGTCTACAATTTCCATCGATTTGGGGTTTATTGGGGTTTTTAGACAAAATCATGAGGACCACATGCATCTCTATATTGGATGAGATACAAATGCGTCAAATGCTTTTGCATTTCTGTTTTGATAATTTGGTGTGGTATAACAATTTGGTGAAATGTTGATAATTCCTTATTTACATGTTGAAGACAAAATTAGGTCCAGTACATACAAGCAGCAGATATTGTTACAGCACACCTTGCCACTTACTCATTTAGTATTAAAACAAAGAATGCCAAATTGGTTCTATAGAACTGTTCTAAGATCAATTATGTGAAAAAAATTGATTGAGAACAAGCTCTGGTGTGGCTAGTTGAAATCAGATGACTCGAGTTGTTTGGCTGAGGTTTTCCATTGAACAAGTCTCCTGGCTTCCTTACTTCCATATACCTTTCTTCTTCTTTTTTCTCATATATCTTTACGGGTATTAAAAATTGAGAGCATCATGGGTTCTTGACTCCATTGTGGTGAATGGATGTTCATGCACTTCTAGTTTTGTAAAATGTAATTGGTGATAATGGTAATCTTACATTGCATGGTGAGGTAAAAGTTACCCAATAAAGATATCTTGTAGATGCAAATATCTATGAATATATGTGTCTTTGTATATGCTCTTCCCCGTCCATAGCTACCTTATCCCCTAAATGAATATTACATGAATGTGGCATAAAATATTGGCTGAATTTTGTTAGAAATGTGCTTGTTTGGGAACACAGGGCAAGACTGTTTAATGGCTTACCAGTTCTTTCATAGTAACAATGGAAAAAAAAATGGATTCCATTGAAGGCGAATGAGTATCAGGATACTTGTATAATATTTGTAATTACCATCAGTACTCCTTTTTCAGGACGTGATGGCTGATGTTTAAATTTGTATCGAACTACAATTGCGGAAAATGTTACTTGCGGCCTGATGAATGCATGCTGCTAGTGCACACGACAAAATTTTAACATTTTACTTGTGGCTTGATGAATGCGTGATTGGTATTATTAAAATTGAAATAAATTGAGTTTCTTATTTCTGTTCAATATCTTCATGTGGCATCTGATGCACCATATAATGAATCACTTACTCTTGGAAATTAGAATACATCTGTTGCAAACATTTATTTATTTTTTCAATTGTCTCTCTCCCATTTTCTTTCCCTTTTTACTTTTTTGTTGCAGTTTTGTTTTTGGCCATTGGATTTTTTCGCCCATGTTGCATTGAGTTTATATTACAAGTATATAGTATCTATTTGTTACAATTTTATCTTCTTCTTACAACGCTAAGGACAAAACACGTAATAAGCTTCGGACCCATAAGAAGGCAGCAGATGTGAGTTGATGGTAAGAAGTAATTGTTTAGAAGCCATGTTTGCAAGTTCACTTTGAAACATTGGTATTTGCGTGTTAGTTCATATTTGTAATTTCATTTGGAACATTATTGTCACTCATCAAAATGTATTTTATATCTCAGGTAGAGAGGAAAAATTCATATGGAACAACTTCAAAGGAGGGGCTATGTTGCTGTTTTTTGTTTTTTTTGAAAAGTTTGTTGTTAAACTATTGGCATTATTGATGTAGGTTTTATGCCATTCACTTCATTTGGGGTTGTTAGGTGACATGTAAGGTGATTGGGTACAAGGAACGAACCATTATTTGACAATGGGCAGGACTACTGAACTTTATATAAATAATTTTGTTATTGAATGGACTACCCCATTTGGTTGGTAGTTGATGAATTGCATATAATATTATAGTTATAAAATGCAATATATTATCACTATGGCAATAATTTGTCAACCTGTTTCTTGAAAGGTTTTTAGATGAGTAGAATGTATTTCAAATTGTTATTAGATGCTATATATTATCACTTGAGCCCGTCTCACTAATTGTGAGTCTTGTATACAATGTCAAGGTCAAGATGATTAACTATAGGGTTTTGATATCTGAACAACCTTTCAGATAGATTTTTCAAGCGCACCGTACTTCTACAATATAAGGTTGGCACTTTATATAAACTTTTTCTTGCCCTTGGCTGCTAAACTATAAGCCCAAGCTACATGAATTTCTCTGGCTAAAATGAGCAAGGAGTTTTAGATTCATTTTTTAGCAAATTTCCATGCTCATTTCATTGAGATCACCCAAATATCCCTCAAAGGTGGGATGCTTGGATCCTCCTTTTGATTAGACTACCATCCTCATTAGAAAAAAAAAGGATTCACAAGCATTTTGTTAAGTGCTTAAAAATATGCTGTCCTAAGATCGAATGGAAATCAACCCGTATTTGGACAGTGAAATCTAAGTGCTTATAATGTCTAGTTTTCTTTGTTGAGAACATTCTAGTGATTCTGTATCGGATCCTAAAATTTTAGATTAAAGAAATACTCCCAAGTAGATTTTCTACCCAATGTATAGTGCACTTGTGCATCTCAAGCAGGCCCTACTGGCAATAGTAAAACAACCACAAAATATGTTTTGGGTAGTTTTTGAAGTGGCCTAAACTGCACAAGATCACAAGTTTCTCATAAGAATGAAGGTGACGAAAGACTTCAAATGCTTTGCTTTGGAATGGCTTACAAATCAAATCAAGTCTAATATCTTCTAGTTTAAGCATCCTTTTTGGATCTTTATAGAATTCTTGCTCAAATGAGAGTCCCATGACTTAAAAAGAGTTTGCAAATGTTGAAACCAAATGCACAAAAAGAGGAGCACAAATTTCATAATTCTTTTATCATTAGTATCCCTCTTTGGGGAGTCAAAAAGTAGTAGCAAATACATAGTATCACTTTATATGTCACAAAAAGCACAAAGAAAGTGAGAAACAATCAAGAATATTGTACCTACAAACTATGAACACAATATAGATTAAGAACAAATAAACCCCCAACATCAAAGACCCCATGTAACCTCTCCTCATTCTCTAGCCCCCCTCTCTTTCTAGCTTAAGAACAAGTAAGCACCGCCATCCTAAAAAGGATGGTGGTGGCTCTCTTCCTCTATATCTCTCTCTGTCTCTGTCTCAAGGTTTCCAAGGAGTTAGAGGTGGCAGGGGAGAAGGGAACATGGGTGGCACCGTAGAGAAGATGATATTCTTGTCGATGGAATGTGACTCACCGGAGAGAGCAACCAAAGCAGCATTGCCAGCGAGAGTGGGCTCAGTGTAATTGTAGTTTCCTCTTACATCTTTGAAACCATCATGCTTGTCGGGTCTTGCCACCATTGCCCCCACAAGTGTGGTTGGGTTAGGTTTGGGCGTGTCCCTCCCCATTTCCACCCACTCTTGCAAGAGTACTTGATCTTGTTCTTAGGGATTGAAGCTGCTCTAAGGTGCACATGTTTTGGGTTGTGGTTTCCGAAACCCACAACATAGCTCATCTTTCACGGGTTCTTGCCTAGAATGTAGTCAATCTACAACATGAAAAGTGGTTAAACATTAGTATGAGTAATTTTCAGTATTCATCAACCAAAAGGCCTCTCTCTTTCTTTGAAATTGTAAAGTTAAGCATGCATGTGCAAGAAGAGTTTTGGATCTCATGGGGAAGCACATGCGCCACCATACTCGCTTTGTAAGATGGTTTTAAATTCTCCCAAAAATATTTAGCTTGCCCCGAAATTAAGCTTGCATGTACAAGAACAATACTAAGATGGGTCACTCTTAGGATTGGAGTGTGTTGTGTTGTACCTACACTAGCAATAAAATACTTCTTTCGAGTTGTTTTATTTATTATAAGAAAAATTATGGGCAATGCTTCCCGAACATTGTATCCAAACCAGAACACTACAAATTTGGTTAAATTTTACAAAATCATAGTCCAGGATCCCATATTTTGGGGTTCAATCCTCAACTGTTTCAGTTTTATGTCTGTGTACCTATTTGAACCAAAGTATTTTTTTTTTTGCCCTGAGATTTATCTTGTCATATATCAAATGATAGATAACTTACTCAGCAATCAATGAGTAAAATAATTTATCCAATGAAAAAAAAATTTTTATGTGAGAGTACCTGGGTTCTTGCAAAATTGCATAGAAAACCAATTTGGCATTCTTTTTTATTTGTTTTAACACTAAATAAGTGGCATGGTGTGCTGTAACAATATCTGTTGCTCGTGTGTAATGGACTTAATTTTGTCTTAAACATGTAAATAAGGAATTATCAACATTTCACCAAATTATCATAGTACAACAAAAAAAACTCTCCCAAATCTAATGAATTAATCTTATATCATATCAGATAAAATGTTTCAAGCAAACAAACAAAAAACCCACATTCCAGAATATATAACATGCAGCTTCAATGAATTCACTATTTCTCTCTCTAATCTATATGATCCAATTTTTCGATTTCGCATTCAATCTTAGGAAGACCAATCCAGAAACCCACATCAACCCCAAAAAACAACAGCAACCACTCACCCTCTCTATTGTTCACAGGAAACACAGATCCAAAAGAGAAACTATCTCATCCAAAACAGAGATGCGAAAGCATCTGATGCATTTGTATCTCATCCAATATAGAGATGCCTGTGGTCCTTATGGTTTTGTCTAAAAACCCCAATAAACCCCAAATCAATGGAAATTGTGGACAATAGATTGTATTTGACTGAGTTAAATACAAAGAGAGAGAGAGAGGACCTTTAGAGATGGGGTGGGCTATGGTTGGGAGGCCAGTCAGGGATTTTTTGAGCGAGTGAGAGGGCTTCAATAGTTGCTAATGGTGAGGGACGAAAGGGCTTCAATAGTTACTAAAAAGAGAGAGATGTCCAAGCTGAGGGGCTTCAATAGCTACATATAGACAGAGAGAGAGGGATGTGTTGCTGCTGCTGCACTTACAGAGAGAGGTGTTCATCCCTCTGTGTGGGCTGAGAGGGCTTCAATGGCTGATAAAGAGAGAGAGGCGATGCCCAAGCCTAGGGGCTTCAATAGTTGCTGCATCACTACCATCGCATCCATCGCATCCATCGCTACTATTGCATCGCATCCATCGCTACTGCTGAACATATAGAGAGGGAGGTCTGCGAAGAAAGAGAGAGGGAGGTTCGTGAAGAGAGAGAGAAAAGGAGAGAGGTTCGAGAAGAGAGAGAGAGGGAGGTCCGTGAAGAGAGAAAATAGGAGAGAGAGGCTAACATTAATCACGTGTTAGCGGATGTGTCAGCACCTCATTAAAAAAAGAGAGCGGGTGGCTAAGCCTTCTTGGCCATCGATTTTGAATTTTTTGATTACGACCGTCGGGCGCAGCTCAATGGGGTGCGCAAGCGGGTTAACCTTAGCATTTCGCATATATATATATATATATAGCAATGATCCAATAAGATCCTCCCCCACCTATATGT